AAATTTAGCACGGATATATAGAAAAGTCAAATCCCATACCCATTTGATAACTTTTCTTGAGATTCGTGCCAACTTTAATGGTGATCCTTTGGGGTCCTACATGGTGATCCTTTAGGGTCCACATACATGGGTGGGGGAGGGTCATATATATATATATATAGAGTTACCGTATTTTTAACGATGTACAGATGACTGAATCGAAATGACTGAATCAAAACTAACCTACTGTCTACAGAAGAAGAGATGAGGATATCAAGAAGGAAGATGAGGAAAAGAAAATATGAGAGAGAGAGAGTATGAGAGCTTTGGAGAACTTCTGATGCTGCTTCTGTGATGTCCTTGATGAAGTCTGCCTCTTCTTGGAGAAGGGAGGAAGTATTTATAGGCAAAGTAGGAGGCTGGATGCCTTCACTGCGAAGGAACCTTGTGTGGCTGGGAAGGATGTCTTTCCTGCGAAGGAACCTTGTGTGGCTGAGAAGGATGCCTTTCCTGCGAAGGAACCTTGTGTGGCTAGGAAGGGATAAGGATGAAGTCGTATCATCGTGTGGGGTCATGAAGAAGGACGCGTGGGTGGCTACAGATGTGGCCGTGCATTGGTGATGGCGATAGAGCATCTTTCGTGTGTCGGTGGAGGTTGTACGTGCCAGCGGCGAGCTATGAGGAAGGGACACGTATGACGAGGGAATATTTACTGTGGCTTGATGTGACTTCAAATTAGTCATATCAGTAAAAAATAGGAAAATGGGAATCTTTACTGTGCCTTGTCGTGTCGTTTATCCGTAAACATAAGGAAAGGGGAATCTTTACTGTGCCTTGTCGTGACTATCAATTTTGTCTATTATGGAAAGTAGGGAACAAGGGGAATCTTGGTTGTGGAGGAATATTGAAAGCTTTATGCAATACTGTGGTGGTGCGGGTTGGCTTTGATATCATTTTCGCCGCAAGATCTACCCTAAGTATTTACCATATAAATAAAGATTCCTTACCTTAAATATGTAAAGATTACAGAGTTATAAGCTATTAATTGTTGCAGAATTGTAACATAATAAAGAAAAGCTACTATAATAATTAAAGCAGAAAGCCAGGAGATATCAAATACAATCCACGAAGTATGCGTATATTCATGAATTTTAAATGTAAAAACAAGTTTGAAAATCATCTAGGTCGGTACAAGTATTATGTTGTGCAAATCTAGTTTGAAAGGCTTGGAAAGCATCGAGTAATTTCTGGGTCTGTGATCCCCATAATAAAAACCAATGGCGGAACCAATTTGGGAATCTTTCAGTAATAGGGAGTTTAAATTGCAAGTACCAAGAATGAGTATTATTTGGATTCTGGTAGGAGAATACCTTGTGCCAAGCTTCTATGTATTCAGCATATTTATAATATTTATATTGGAAATCTGGATTCATCAATTTTCCCTTGAAGAGGATTACATCCCCAATCATCATAAGAATATATATATATATATATATGAGAGTCATTGTTGTACGCCCATACGCGAATGGCCAGATTGAATATGTGGCCGATCTAACGCTCACGGATATCTGGTAGTATTTCAATTTTTTTTTTTTTTACAAATCCAGATCACTCGAAATTTTAAGCGTGTGTTCTTCTCATCAAGGTACCCTTAATAAAAATATAAGAACAATAATTCTAGAAAAAATTGACCAAAATACCCCCCAAAAAGTTTCCAGGGGTATTTTGATCAATTTATTTAATGTAAAAAAATAGATATTTTTTGTAACTTCGCCTATTTTTTAAGAACACCGGCCCAGCTTTCAAGTGATTTGGATTTGTAGAAAAAAATAATAAAAAAATCAAACACTATCGAACATCTGTTATCGTCAAATCAGCCCAAATTCAATATAGGTTGTAGGCGTTTACTCTAGAAGTGCGCACCTGGGTGCACAACTTCTTTTCCCTATATATATATATATAGGAAAACACCACAAAACACGTATAGGTGAAGTTCTACAGTACTTCACCTATGGCTTTATCACTGTTCAAAGCTTATAACACTGTCACAGATGGCTGATAGTGTTTGAATTTTAATATTTTTTTACATATCATAATGATCTAAAAATTTGTAAGTGTGTGCGCCCCTTAGTGAGATGCACATGAATAAAACTTATGGGGCTATTTTTGTCAATTTATATTTTACGATTTATTTTCTTATACTTTTATTAAGTATATCCCCACTAAGATGTACACACGCTCCAAATTTTAGATCATTCCGATTAATAAAACAAAAATGAAAATTAAAACACTATCAAACAGCTGCGACCGAGCGATGAAGTTTGGATGGTGATGAGAGTAAGCGAAATCGCTATCCATTTTCGCATATAGGCGTTTTGTAGTAT